TGCAAGGAAATGGCAAAGAAGCTTCTATTGGCTCCCCAGGAGACTCCATCCTGGTTAACTCACAGAAGCCTGAAGAAAAAAAAAAACACAGTGGGTGGAGGCTGATCACAAGATAAAGGATGCTTTAGTGATGTTTTGGAGGGTTTGGGTTTTTACTAATTTGTTTAGTTTTATTGAGGGAGGTACTAGGGGTCCTGCCTGCCTCTCTTCCTCCCTCTAGCCATCCCTTCCTTCAGAAACTAGTACCGGGAGCCATGACACATACCTATAATCCTAACAACTGAAGGCTGAGGCAGGAGGAATACAAAGTTCAAAGCCAGTCTGTGCAACTTAGCAAGACCCTGTCTCAAAATAAAATAAAAACGAATGAAAAGAGTTTGGGATGGAGTTCAGAGATAGTGTGCCCCTGGGTTCAAACCCTGATACCAAAAAAATGAAAAAGAAAAAGAAAGGAAAAAAAAAGAAACTTTTAATCTTTCCTCAGTGTTGGTGAATACTTGGTTATACAGGTGAGATCAATTGTGTATGAAATTACTAAAATTTTTCTTTTAGTTAATCCTAAAGGTTGATATTTAATAAACACAGATTTTTACTTAAAATTCCTCTAAATTATCTTTTATAGACCTCAGCGATACTAGCCTCTCTTTAGAAAAATAGAGGCTCTAGGGAAAAAAAAACAATTCAAGCTCCATCTCCTGAAATGCCCAGCTCTTTCTTAAGAATGAGCCAAAACCACAAGATAAACACATGCAGGTAAATGGCTCCATCTCTCCAGAACTCTTCTGCTTTTGAGCCACCCCAGCGCATTACTCTACTCCACTGTATTGCCATGAGCTTCATAATGCAGTCCACCATCCAAGAGCATACCATGGGACTTGTTGCTGTTTTCATTCATTCATTCATTCATTCATTCATTCATTCATTCATTCATTCATTCATTCCCTGTTTCTCTCACTAAAATACATATTCCATGAGTACAGGAATTTTCATCCAACTCATCTACTAGTGCATCTCTGGTGCCCAGAAATGCCTGGTACCCAGAAACTCAATCAATGTTTATGTAAGGAATGAATAAATACAGGCAGCTTCCAACAAGCAGTGTTCTTCATGGTCACTGTTTGATAATTTATATATATATATATATATATATATATATATATATTTATGTCCCATCAATCAGACTTAAATTTTAGTCAAATATCTGAAGTACTAATACTTCTTGCACAAGATCATTCTAGAGTATATAATACAGCTCAAAGTAAAAACTTTTATGACAATTTCCGACACTGTGTCAGCCTCTGAGTAAAGTGCTTCTTCCTATACTGCATCTGCCTCTTGCTTTCATTAGTGCAATAATATTCTAATCACTTTATGCTGCAGTATCCAAGAATGGGATACTGAGAGCTTCAGAAAACAGTTGTTTTTCCTCTTCTTTATAGAAAAGCTCTTGAGATCAAAGGTGCTATAAAAGAAATTCTCAATAGCACATTCCAGGTGTGAGTGCGCGYGCACACACGCACCCCACCCCCAACATTTTAAACTGTTTTACAGAGAGGCAAGGGTACTTCTGGGAAGCTGTGAGAAGAAGAAAAGCCCCATGCAATCTCCCAGGACTCCCAGGCCTGATTTCATAGACAACACTTCAGCAGAATTGAAAATGGAACAGATTGCAGGAAGGAGAAGGTTTCCAGAGATACAGGATGAGTGACAGAAAATACATCAATCAACACACTTCGTACTCAGGTAAGGCTGGAAACAATGGGTAGTCACGCTCAGTTTCCCAATGGAATCTTGGGCAACTCAATTAACCTCTTTCTGCCACATTCTCATCACATGCAAATTGAGTACAACAACCTACCTAGTGGAGATTGCACAGGGATTTGCTAATAAATGTGAGTAGACAGCTATATGTGTGAYACCTAGTGATATTACGTTAACGAGCATAAAATCATGGGGCTACAAGRGACTCAAGAGGTCAATCCAGCCCTTTTGCATCTGACCACAATTAAGCCATTCCAAAGGGATTAGATTCTAATCCTTTTAAAAAGGTACCTATATAAAGGGATTCCAGAAAAYTCCCCCTTGCCAAGGATGATTTCTTAAATTTAATATGCTCTGATCCTGMAGAATAAGTATGCCTTGCTTCTCCTCCCCCAGTGTGGGAAGGAGACTAGCAGCTGTGTTATAGGTAGCACCTATAATAGGTGGCTGCACCTTCAGAGAGTAAAGAAGCCTGATGGTTATGAGCACAGATATTGGAGTCAGAMTGATTTAGGTTCCCATCCATCTCTACTCCATGTTTGCTACCTGACTTTAAGCAAGTTACAGACTTAACTTCTGTGAGCACTTGCACTCACAGCACTAGAATACAGAATTATCTTTCACATGGCTTTTTGCTTAGGATTGCAAAAGTGGCTGRTAAATTAAAAGTCCCCATGCTCAATAGGTATGATTTTCAATCTACCTACTGAGGTGTTCAGGAACATAACAGAGGTAATCCTCTGCTCCCTGGGAGGCAWCAGACTCCARGAGATTTACAAGGTTTCTCCAGACACTCTGGCTTCTACCCATGAATGTAGGCATTGCCAATTTCTTCTAGAAAATATTTATCCCACTGACCCCAAAAGGTTGGTATTAGGAATAAATGATCCAAACAAGTAAGGCACTTTTCACAGGGCTGGCTCATGGTAGGTACCAAACAAATGCTCACATTATTTTCTGGGCTGAATCTCCTTGGTCAYTTTCATTTTTATTTATTTATAATTCTAACCTTTAAGGTGTTCATCATTTTTATTTCTGTCTTCTCAACTCACTCCACATTCTCCATTTTTAGTTTTTAATATAGTGCTCAAAATTTAGGAAGACACTATCTGTGCTGAGTAGTGTGGGGATATTTCCTCCTGAATTTCTCTTAAGATCACTATGCCCAGGAGAACACCAGAGTCACTGGGCCACAGAAAGGACTCTCCTAGGGTTCCTCTAGCTTTGCTAGTTTCAATCTGTGTGCCACAAAAGCCAAGAGTTTCCCACAGCATCTCTCTGAATTATTGGGAAGACCAGCGTTGACACAAGTCTGATATCTCTGGGCTTCCACTCAAACCCCAGGGCACACAGTCCAGGGCTGGGTGAAACCATGSAGACTAGCTTCACAGATTCCAATAAATCAAAACCCACTTCTATAACAATGTGGGCCAAGACTGAGAAAAAGAAAGAGAGAAACAGAGACAGACAGAGAAATAAGAAAAGGAGGAGGAGAYAGAGGAGGCAGAGAATGCAGAGGAAGAAGCAGAATATGAAGAATTAAAAAGGCTAGTTTGCTCAGAGGGAGAGCTCTTGCTTAGCCTAAGTTAATCCCTAGCCAAAACAAACAAACAAACAAGAAATAGTAATGTTTTTTTCTTCTATTTACTCCAGGTACTTTCTCCATGCTGAGCAGGGCTAGGCACTGTATTTACTTTCCTCTGGGGATCTTGGGGCTTGCCAGAAAGCAGAAAGACTTGAGGAATCTTGTCTGGTAAACGCAAACCCACTGAAGACAGCTGAGAGGCAATGAAACAGAAGAACGCCTGCTTCCCCACCCACAGGGGTCTGTGGGTTCCTAATGAAAGAACAGCACCACCCCTAATTATAGCACCTAGAAGTAGTCAATCCAAGGAAGGGGAAGGCTGTGTGGCGTGTGCCTTGGGAAACAGTTGGGACTCTCAATATTGACAAAGAGTCATATATTCCACAAGTGCTTATGGAGCACAGCTGAGGGAGTTTAGGGCACCTTGGAGAGTTTGGGCAATGCCTACATATATAGGTAGAAGTCAGAGTGTCTGGAGAAACCTTGTAAACCTCCTGGAGTCTGATGCCTCCCAGGGAGCAGAGGATTACCTCTGTTATGTTCCTGAACACCTCAGGAGGTGGACTGAACATCATACCTATGGAGCATGGGGACTTTTAATTTACCAGCCACTTTTGCAATCCTAAGCAAAAAGCCATGTGAAAGATAATTCTGTATTCTAGTGCCATGAGTGCAAGTGCTCAGAAAGGTTAAGTATCTAGTCCGAGTGTCTATATTCCAATTCTGCACACTTCCTGATATGCCAAATTACTCACTTGTCTGAAATCTTTTAACCTAACTTTGAAATCCAGCCTTTCTATGAGAGAATATACTCTAGGGTGGAACTGAAGCTTCTTTAATAAGTGGGCTTATAGGATACAAATTTGAATCTGCAGCATGCTTACAGTTGTGTCACAAAAATAAACACTTGAAGCTATGAATAGGAAAAAAAGACTTGGATGTTACAGGAAAAAAAATGGCAAAACAACTGGCTTAAGTAATGGGCAGGTTATTTCTACTTTTCTCTTGGTCAAAATTTTCTTTTGTGACTGAATATTATATTTACAATGCAAAATAGAAGATTAATGATTTTTTTTTCAGGTAGCCTGAGAATTGAACTATTCATGCCACAGCAAGGTGGCCCCTTATAGGAGCATACAAGGGCCTTCCTCCCCTGTCTTCTAGGAAAATACACCATTCCCTTCAGATCCTGAACGACCCGGCTATTGAGTCAAATCATTCCAGGTATTATCAATTCTTGTAGATGATATACCAAGGTCATGAGATATTTTGACATTAGTCCTGATTTTGCCCTGAAGGGGCCAATTCCTATGCATGGTAGCAAAATATAAGAAAAAAATAAATGGAATTACATAATGAGATCTGGGTCTCCCTTAGATACTTTTAGTCTTTGAAGGATTTTCTGTCTGCATCTTCTGAAAACTTAACTTGGGGAGTGTTAGAGGCTCTTAAAGATCATCTGTTGTTCCCAAAGGGAGGGAAGACATCAGTGGGGCCTCTCTTCTGTATGTCCATCTCCTGATTCATCCACAAGCAGCCTGGAACCCTTCTCATATAAAAACGAAGGTCTTCCTGGCTGGAGTCTCACCTCACAGGATCTCTGGAGAGGTAAACCCAGAAGCAACTTGCATTTCCTCAAATCACGCCTACTCACCTTCACACAGCCCAGAGCYGTCCAAGTAAAACTGGGCTCTACACTGGGACAGACACTCGCCAGAGGGGATGTGTGCCCCAGAGAGCTGCTCTGCTTGCAGTCCTGCCTCCGGATTCCGACACTGAGTGCAATGAGAGGGCTCTGGACCCACACACGTCTTGCAGGAAGCATGACAGGCTACAAATAGGAATAAAATGCAGAAAATAATCCAAAGATCAAATATATGTTGCAACCAACTGGAGTCCCTCCTTACATGAAAACCACTTAGGAAAGTTCACCAGATACATCCTTTCAGAAGGTGATTTTTATAGAGTTCTATATAAAGCACAGGGGTGATAATAAAGCTTGTAGAAGGAAAGTGAGGGGTCATGTGACTGGTTACTTCTCTCAGGTGCTGTAAGGGCTGTCAGGCTGGATCACAAAACCCAGCAAAGTGGACAATATTGGCTTGGCACATTCACTGAATGACGATTTAACATTATGCCCTCAGTTTTTATTGAAGATTTTTAGAAGCATTCATAGGAAGGCCATTACTGTATCTTTCGCAAAAATGGTTGTTGTGTAACTGTCTATTATGTCTTCTATCATCCATTATAGAGAGGTCCAGACAACAAATTCCTCTTAGAATTTATCTGGAGAAAAGCTGCCTTTCTAAACAAGGAAGAGGCTTCCTTCAAGTAGCAATGAAAATTTCACCATCAATCACAGTGTGTTGTTTTCCCTGGTGACTGGGGAAAATCAAAGCCAAAACACTGTACTTAAACCTTCTTGTGCCCACATTTTGTTACGATTAACTTTTCTGTTTCTCTTAAAGATTCTCTAAATTTACTTTTTCAAAGTATTTATTGCAGCTTTTCAGTTTTAAGTACATTTTCCTGTAACTGTTCTCAAATTCTTTTCTAAGATATCCTATATACAAATAAATATAATTTCATTTCATTTAATTAAAGTGTTTGCCCCCAGTGTTCTAGTTTCAAAAAGCTCAAATGCCACTGCTCTCTCAATGAGCTCAGAGCCTTTTGGCAAATGGCAATTTAAGATTTCTCGTTTTATTCAGCCCAGAGGCATTGCTAGTGACTCTCAGTTTGCTCAGAGTATCATTAACAAAGAGAAGTTCCGCAGGGAAAAGCAAAATGCAGTCTAGAAAAACATTAGCAATAGTAGGAGAAAAGAGAAAGAAGAAAATAAGAATTTTATTTTGTCTTAATGTATCGCAAAGAAAATCCCATTCTCCTTTAGGATAGCTGGAAAATCATAAAAATTTTTGCACGCCCCCCCCCCGCCCCAGATTAGACTTTCACTAAACTATTCCAATGAAATAAGGCAACACAGTTGTCCCTTAGTATCTGCTTCCATGACCCCTGTGGATACCAAAATCTGTAGATAATCAAGCCTTTCCTATAAAATGGYGTAGAATTTGCATGTGGACTATACACATTCTCCTGTATGCTTTAAATCATCTTTAGACTAATACAATGCCTATAGAGCTGTCATATGCACAAACCCTGCATAGAACTCATGAAGTAAATTCAAAATATCCTTTTTGGAAATTTTTGGAATTAAAAAAAAAATTCCTATCTGTGGTTTATTGACTCCAGGATGTGCAACATGTAAATACAGATTCAAAGGGCCTTGGGAATGTATAAAGTCTTTTCTTAAGCGTCCTGCCACTACGATTCTAATCCTGTCTCCCAACTTCCACCACCCAGCTCCTGACCTCTGTCCCCCAGAGCCATCTTCCTGGACATCATTCCTGTCCTAAGTCCTGTAAAAGGCTCAGGTCAGGAAAAGTTGCACTGCAAAGTGATATTATTGAGAAAAAGTCAATCTACATCCTTGTGATAGGACACTATCCCAAGAATGACAAATATACCAATGATACCTTTGCAGTCCCCATGGTCAGGGTAGAAGCCCTCTCCACAGCTGGATAGACAGTGGCCTTGATGTAGAGCCTGGGGCTGGATGCAGGCTGTACAGTGAGAGGCTGAGGGTCCGGAGCAGCTGGCACATGAGTCATGACAAACTGAGGAGGAAAGAGAGAGGGGACACAATGGGCTGCACTGTGGGCTGAGGTGACTGCACAGCATACTCCCTGTCTGGGCTGGTGTGTGCTGGGAAGCCCTCTTCACTTTCAGTCCCTTCGCTTGTCACACCAGACCAAGGGAAGAGATGTGTTAGGAGGAGGTGACACTGCTAGAACTGTCCTTACTGCTCCCCACCCACCTTTTATCCATATTCTACCTACTACTTATCAGCTACTTTTAGTGTTTGCATGAAATGATTGTTACACATTAATTTTTAATCCTGGTAACACTATGGCATATTATTAATTAAATTTTACAGTTGAGGAAATTGAAATCTTGAAATGTTAAAAAATTTACCCAGGACCCCAAAGCTCACTCAGAACAAGGTTGGGATTTAGTCTGCCCCAATCTGAAGCCCACACTGCCTGAACTAAGGGAAGAGTGGAAAACCTATGGGTATGAGTGTTGGGAATGCTGAAATTCCAACCGACTTGTCCACTAACTCATTGATGCCTTCTGCCACGTCTGGTACTCTCCAGGTCTACTTTCCTTGGCATATGCATACTGAAAGGTTGGATGAAATGATAATTTACGATGCTTCTAGCTCTAACGTTCTAGGATTCTAAGAATTACTTTATTGCAGAAAAGAATCTGACCACTCCATACGCTAACATGAGGGACACATCTTCCTGCCTTGGCCCTCATGTTAACGGTGGAACATCTCTGATTTCCAAAGGCAGGTGGTGGGAGCATGGCCTGACCTGAGCCTTTAACAGGACTTAGGATAGGAGTGATGTCCAGGAAGAAGGCTCTGGGGGCAGAGGTCAGGAGCTGATGGTGGAAGTGGGGAGACAGGATGAGAACCATAGGGGCAGGATGCTGAGGGAAAGCGAGGAACTGTGGGTGCATGAAGGGATTGGCAGACAAAAACAGGTTGATAAGGAGAGAGGAGCAGACAGTTCTAAATATCCTAACAGACACTAAGCAGAAGTGAGAATGTGTATTTCACAAAGGAGTGGAAATTAAGGTTTTCCAGGCAGCAATACATTCTTAGGTACCTGTAAGTAAAGACATAAGTCAGGCATATATAAGTTGGAAATGTATAAAGTCTYGAATRGCAATGTGTCATAGTTTAGGTTGTWCCAGTCTGAAAGAAACAAYATATAAATAGCATGTATAAACAAAATTTCAGTGAAAACAGACCTCAGCTTTACTAGCTATCAAACTTAGTTTTCTTTTTCATTTCATTTTTGTGGTGTATCGTAGCTGCCAATGTAGGAGTTTATAAATGCCATGGAAGGAACAATTTTGTCATCACTAACATAGGTTAGTGACTGTTTACAAGTACACAAGGACTGTGTGTTAAAGACGTTCTTGACATTTTCAATAGACCAAATACTCTCTTAGGATGATTGATAGGCATTAGTCCTTCATTTAATTCACCCTATGCCCTAAGAATCCACCCAAATCTTCCACTCTCATATCAAATACACATAGGTTCTACAAAAGAAAAGGCTATCCTTTTGAAAGTAATATTTTCCCATCATACACACAAAATCTCAAATGACTAGCAAATAGCACCAAGTATGATTATATATATTAAAGACTTTTGATGATGGTGATGTTGGTGGTGATGACACCCCAGCTCTTACCTTTGCATCTGCCAGTGGCATCTGCGTAGTACCCACGCGGGCATTCAGCAATGCATTTCCCATCATACAACACTGTCTTTTCAGTACAGGAAAGACATCTGGGACTATTGGGGCCACAACTCTTACAGGATTGGTCGCAAGCTAAGGAGGAGAAAAAACCATCAGAAAAAAAGCAATTGTGAGAAAAGAAGCAATGAACTCCATTCTTCACAATGTTCACAACTGGTATCAAGAAAGCAATCTCATTCTCTGGCTGCTCATCCGAGCTCTGTTTCCTTGATCCCAAATGCTTTCTCTTCTCACAGTTGAAGGAGAATTGAAGAATTATTCATTGAACCAAGTATTACAGATACTCTGAAGTATACCCACAAGTACATCAAATTTAATATGGGATTTTAATTTAATTTAAAATTTAATTTAAAATTAAAATAGCCTTGGAGGCAGGGTTGCCAGATTTATAAACCAAAAATACCAGATGTATTATAGATAAATAATGAATAATTTTTAAGTGTAAAAATATATCAAATATCCTTTACTTCACTCTACTGAAAGAGCGAATTCAGAAATTCAGCTTTACTAAGCAATTGTGCTACCAACATTGCATTGAAGTTGTTGGATTTCAAATAATCTTCAGGATCCACTCATTCATTTACCCCCCAGAAACTTCATTAAGATCTGTATCAGGTGTCATGTAACATGATCAAGACACAAAAAGCAAATCACCTTGGTCTCTAGGTTAAGTGGCTTACAAGTCTAAGAAAGGGAATTAATAGAAAATATTATAATACTGAATATACTGTYGAAAACAGTCTATATAGGCACAAACATAGTTTTTTAAAGTGTGTGGGATAAGAAGTAGTAAAGGTCAAGAGAAAACTCAGAGAAGTTACCCTTGAGCATTTTCTTAGAAAGCAAGTTGCTTTTGGCCAGGCTGATGGGAATGTACCACAGATGAAGCCACAAAGTCTACTCAGGTAGAAAAATGGGAAGAGCCAGACTATGGAAACCTCTAGCCATACTGTGAGGTCTAGGCTCTCTCCTGTGGAAGGCATTACCATTCAAACTTTATCTGAAATTCAAATTCAACTGGGCATTGTCTAGTTTCTCATCCTGTGGAAGGCACTGAGGGCCTCTGTGGTTTCAAGCATAGCAGAAACATGTCCATATTTGTGGATAAGAGATAACTTTGGGTAGATTCAAGATGGCAGGTTGGAGGAAGGCTTCACTGTCTGATGTTCTATGGTTTCGGATTCAAGCAACAAGAATACTGCTTCTCAGCTAGGTTGGTGAAAGAAGGAATTCACTGAAATTCCATGTTGGACAGTCACCATCTCATAAAGACTCAGAAATTCAGGTGCATTGAGCAAAAAGCAAGAAAGAGCACATCTGAACCAAGCTGGCCGCAGCAGCAGCAATGGCAGTAGCACTGCTTAACTGCAGAGGGAAGGGATAACAGAAAGAGGAATACACTGGACAAATTGGGCATGGAAAAACCTGATGATCAGAAGAGAAGCCTGAACTTAGCTGATCCAGAGGCTGAACAATAAATTGGTGTTTAAAAAATGCTCTATATTTCTCAACTGGGAAGCAGAGAACTGAGGTGGGAGTCATCTTGAGGAGGTCACACTGCAGCTTGCTGTTGTGGGAGCTGAAATATCACAGCCAACATTGCCTTACTGTCCCAGCAAGCACCTSGTGTGTGCCCTATGGTTTACCTAGCATAAAGTTAATGAAACAGGCACAGAGAAGATTGTACCCAGGGAAATTCAAGTCAGAAAAACAGACGGGAATACAACTCACTTTCCTTTGAGTTTGGCAGCTCSTGTGACCAGGTGACTAGGGTCAGGAAACTGAACAGGTGATGTGAATACACTCAGGGACTAAGCCTTGGAAGATCATATTCATGCACAGCGCAGTGTGTGGAGGTTTGGTTCTCCATCCCCTCATGTAGAACTCCTTGGGAGACTCCAGAGATCTATACGCCTAAGAGAGATTAGCAYCTGTGTGGCTCCAGGGGATGTTGATCTAATCTCTCCAAAATAGATGCCACCCAACAAAGACTGTAAGGCCTGAATAGACCTAAACCTCAGACACTGGAACTCCCCTCTTAGAACTCTTGCAGCAACCCACCCTGGGTATACATCCATCTGTTCTGTCCAGACAAAACTCCAATTGACAATACTTCCCATTCCAGAATATCTTATACTGGTGAGAAGGAAAGCTAAGAGTTATTTCAACTGGCTTCGATTTTAGGCCACTTCAGCTGATAGCTTGGTGAGTAACAAAAAAGAGGAGGGGTTCACAATCCCCACCTTGCTCTCACACACTCTCTCTCAGTACATAGCCAAAGAAGAAACAAAGAGAAGGCAGTTGGGCCTAAGAAATGACCATCTATACTCACTGACTGTTTTGACTACCTCAATTAAGACAATTCTTTTATTTTTTCATTAAAAATCTTTTTTTTTTTCCTTTCTGCAAGGGACGACAGTGTTTTTGCTGTGCTGATTGGTACATGGACATGTACACACAGACATATTCCCCCCCCCCCCATATTTAGCATATTCTTACAATAGTTACGTTTCCTTATCCTGTCTTTTGAGAGTTAGGGTTTTGGCTTGTTTGATCATTCATTCATTCATTCATTCATTCATTCATTCATTCATTTTTTGTTGTTCACTTGTTTTTCTTCCTCTCGTTTCTTCTACTAAGAGCCAAATTCTTTTCTTTCTTCCTCTCTCTCTCTCTCTTTAGGATTTTTTCTAATTTTTCTCATCCTTCTTTATAACCATCATTTGCTACATCTGTTCTGCATTTTCTCTGTTCACATTTTCAACACTGTAAACTTTCTTCTATTTTTCTATCACATTTTTTTCTTAATGAACTGTATTTTTACCACTTTTTAGAACTACTTGTTTTATATAACTCCTGCTCACACTGTTAATATTGTTGTAGTTATTAGTGCTATGGATGACAAAGTTTATACCTGCTGTTTACTACCAGATCAAGTTCACAGTTATTTATAGTTTTGCTCTTGGCAATTTCCGACCACTCCATTCCTATCTATGTGGTAATTAGTGTTCTAATGCCATAGTAGGCACCAGGTTTTTATTTTAATGTGGTATATTCTTTGTTGCTATTGTTTGTTTCTCCCTTTTCTGTGAAGTGCTGGGAATCTATAGGGACACTACAAGTTCATAGGGTAGAGACTCAGCATCTGAACTAAACATAGCCAAAATACAGCACATCATGTGTCACACATAAATTAACCACACTCAAATTTCAGTTATAATTTAATATAAGAATAGGAGAGAAAAACTCCAAACTAATGACAGGTCCCAAATAGGAATGGCTAGAGGGAGGCTGCAGGTCTCTCTCATGGACATTCACTTCAACAGCAAAAATGAAGAGAATTAACACAAAGGCTATGGGTACCACACCTATAAGGGGTCTTAATCTAGATCACTCGAGGAAATTACCAAGAGCAGACCATGACCTAAAAATGCCCATATAGGAGTGAAAGAGAGATTCATCCCAACATATGCAAAAAAAAAAAAAAAAAATTATTAAAAAAAAAGTTAACACAACACCTCCTAAAGTTCCTAATTCACCAGCAACTGACTCCAAAGATACTGAAGTGGATGAACTATCAGATAAAGAATCAAAAGGAACAATTATAAAAATTATCAATGAATTCCAAGAGAGTAAAGGAAAACAGCAGAATTAATTAAGGAAGCCAGTACTGGGTATGAATGAGAAATTAAATATGGCACTGGATATACTGAAAATAATCAAACAAAAATCTCAGAAATGAAAGACACAAAAATTAAATAAATATTCAGTTAAAAGACTTTTTAATAGAGAAGACCATCCTGAAGACAGAATTTCAGAGCTGAAGACAATGTTATCAGCCTTGAATGTTCAGACAATGTTAGGGAAAAGAAAATAAGTAATCATGACTAGAATATACAAGAGCTCTGGAACAACATTAAGACACCAAATTTAAGAATCGCTGGGATTGAAGAGGGTTATGAGGTACAGGCTAAAGGAAGAAATAATCTCTGCAGAGAAATAATGAGAGAATTTTCTAAACATGGAGAATGACATGTATATCCAGATATAGGAGGCATTCAGAACCCAAATTACACAAGACTAAAAAAGAATCTCTTCATGACCCATTATAACAAAAAGAGACTAACATAAAGAATAAGGATAGACTTTTAAAAGAGTAAAAATGTCAGGTTACTTCTAGAGACAATTGAMTCAGAATTACTTAGGATTTTTGAACATAAATTCTAAAATCAGGAGGACTTGGAATAATGTGTTCTGAGTCCTAAAGAAAAAAAAAACTGTCACCCAAAACTGCTATATCTAGCAAAACCATCCTTTAGAATCAAAGCAGAAACAAAAACCTTCTAAGATGAACAGAAAGTAAAAAATTACGGCTAAGTTATCACTATAAAAATACTAAAGGAAAAACTTCACACAGAAAAATTCAAAAACAAATCCCAAAGCTCACAAAGGAACAAATCTCATTTGAAAAGTAGCTAAACAAATGATAAATAGGACCACATTAAACATTAGAAATACACAAAAATGGCAGGAATTAATAAACAACTTTCTATAATAACATTAAGGTGAATGGTGTCAACTCTCCAACTAAAAGACACAGACTTCCAGAATCCAACTACATGTTGTTTGCAAGAGATCATCTTATAGGCAAAGACAGCCACAGGCTGCAAGTGAAAGAATGAAAATTCATATACCATTAGAATGGAGTCCAAAGGCAACCAGAAGTAGCACCTCTCATAGATGACAAGAATAAGCCTACAACAAAGTAGGCTTCAAATCAAAATTAATCAAAAGACACAAAGATGATTACTTCATAATGGAAAAGGGAACAATCTAACAAGAAGACATAATAATAGTAAATATTTATGCCCAAATGCTTGTGCATCTAATTACATAAAGTAGACAACACTTTTGAATTAAAGGCTCAGATAGACCCTGATACAATAATACTGGGTGATTTCAATATACCTCTCCATCATTAGATAGCTCATCCAGAGCTATCTAAACTCAGTAAAGACTCATTGAACCTGGAAAATATTATAAATCAAATGGACCTAACAGACATCTATAGA